TTGTTATATACGTATGTATGTATATATGTATATATACATACATGCATGCATGCATGCATGTATGTATATAAAATATTGTATGTATGTATGTAAGCGTGTTTGTATGTATGGAGGTAGGTATGTATGCGTGTATGTATGTATGTGTGTATCATTCATTCATTCCTTCATTCATTCATTCATTCATTCATTTATTCGTATTTTCGTTCGTCCAACAACTACAACAACAACATCAAAAACAACAACAACAACAACTTGATCATTATATAACACATAACAGCCACTAACTAACCAACTAAACAGTCACATCGGCAACAAAACCCCCCATGATTACGTCATCGTAACATAGAATAGGGATGTGCCGGTGTATAAATATTACGTAAATAAGTAACGTGTTGGTATAATGAAAATTGCGTAACGCAACAAAAATATTAGCTGAGCAATTAATTTTTATAGCGCCTATTACGAAATTAATGCCTGCTGGCTTACAATACTTACAATAGAACAGGAGTGCTTTATTGTTGTAGGCAACATTTTACACACACACACACACACACACACACACACACACACACATACAATCACAGCATTCATCGGGGCGTATAAAGGTAAAAGAAGGTTAAACATCAAAGAGAAATTTAATGTTACCTTATATTATATATACTTACATACTTACATACATACATACACACACATACATACATACACACACATACATACATACATACACATACATACATACACATACATACATACATACACATACATACATACACACACACACATACATACATACACATACATACATACACACACATACATACATACACACACATACATACATACACACACATACATACACACACATACATACATACATACATACATACACACACATACATACATACACACACATACATACATACACACACACACATAAATACACACACATACATACATACATACATACAAACGCGTGCATTATTGTTTCCAAATAATTTCACTAGGCAAATACATTGACAGATGTGTCTAGTTAACAAAAATATAGAACATTTTGTACATCTTGTGTGTGTGTGTGTCTCTCTCTGTGTATAAATGTGTGTATGTGTGTGTGGGAATGTGTTTATTTGCATGGGCCAGTTAGTTTAATACCTGTAAAATACTTGTAGGCACGTTCTATTTACATTGAAATGTATATTTACCTTGTTTTGTATTTTATTGTTTACTCATTAATCGACCCATCTTTCACTCATTTTCCTCCATTCAATCACTTTTTCATTCCTTTATCAGTTAACTCAGTTTTTCAATTCATCAAAAACTTAAACACGGGTAGAGTTCTAGGGTGGTTAAACACGTTCGGCAGACATCACAACAAGCCCCACACACCGTCAGCAAATGTTATTGTAATGTTTAATCACATCAACTCATCCATCCAATCACATCTCTCGCGCTACCATATGACAGATGTTTTGGCATGCTTAAGTACGTGTGTGTGTGTGTGCGTGTGTGTGTGCGTGTGTGTGTGCGTGTGTGTATAAATGATGTTTAATATCGGGAAATAAAACACATCAACAACATTAAAAAACATACAAACGCAGTATTAAAATCCATAACAACAGCAACAATAACAATAATAACAACAATAATAATAATAATAACAATAACAATTGTGCCAAAAAAATCAATGCTAAAAATAAAATACTTGCTAACGAGTGCCACTGCATGAAGGTGATGATGATGATGACGACAGTTTTGATGTTAATAAATTTCTCCAAAGACGACAGTAAGTAGAACATACGTACACACACACACATGCATGCACACACACACATACACACAAATACACACACGCACATAACACAAAAACATTCACACACACTCCAAGATATGTGTGTGTGTGTATATATATAAACACGTGAAAGACCTCAAGTTACCATTCTATTACGAATAATTCCTTAATTCTCCCGCCCCCCCCCCCTCTCTCTCTCTCTCTCT